TTCGCAGGAAGCGCATGTTCCTTGGCTTATCAAATAAATTTTGTTTTATGTTGTACTGGCTGATGCATTAATGAGATTCGTGGCTTCCTCAGCATCCCCGAAAAACAACTGGTAAGAAATAAAGAAATGGGGATAGGGCGCCGTAAAATAAATTGTACTGGTGAAATAGCGTTCATGTTTTGCAGAACCACTCGTCGACTTTATTTCCTTTAAAAAAAGCTGATGTCCTTCATTAGCTGTTTTGCTGACTTTCTGTTAATTACTTGGCATTCAGAGTTGCATTCTTTTGTAGGTTTCTTTAATTCAAATGTGCATCAGTCGTGAATTAGTGCTTGGCATTCTACTAAGTAGTTTTGCCGAGCACTTTCGAGCTTTCTTCACGAAAGAGGTCCAGATCACTTTCATTTACCTTCTACTAGGGTTAAGTAATTCAAAAGTTTCTGTCTAGTTGAGCTGAAACAGAAACGTGAGATATTTGAGTATTTGTACTTCATCACGAGTTCTGAGGAAATTTGCTCCAACCTGTTCCGCCGTGCGGCGTCAATAGCGATTTCGAACTGACCGAGTTTTCCGCAGCTGACGTCGTGTGCGGCGGTAGCGTGCGACGGGTAGCGGCGGCATTGTGGTTGCCCCAATCGATTTCGCCCGGTTATCGACATTTCCCCCACATTCGCATATCGTTGGCTATTCATTTCAAGCCGACGTTGAAACTGGTTGTTCATTTTGAATTCCACTTTTCACTTCATGGTTGCTCTCGTGTCCATCTTATACTCACATAGTTTTACACTGAGGTTTTAAACTTCATTTCGCAAATTGTGGCTGCTTTTTTCAATAGCTCTCTCGATTTTCTCACCAATTAGCCATAATTCCTTTTTCTGAAGGTGCATGCAAACTTTCTATGTGCTTTTAAGTGGTTAATGCAAAGATTTTAGGAGTATTTATACATGTGAGTATTCTAGATCAATTTTAAGAAATGTTATTGTATCTGGATTCAAATTTGACAGTAATCAGTTGATAGATTGATACTTCATGGCTTTCTTTACTTACTCTCGCTTCTTGCTATTCTGTATTAACTTTCCTTNCTCTCGATTTTCTCACCAATTAGCCATAATTCCTTTTTCTGAAGGTGCATGCAAACTTTCTATGTGCTTTCAAGTGGTTAATGCAAAGGTTTAAGAAGTATTTATACATGTGAGTATTCTAGATCAATTATAAGAAATGTTATTGCATCTGGATTCAAATTTGTCAGTAATCAGTTGATAGATTGATACTTCATGGCTTTCTTTACTTACTCTCGCTTCTTGCTATTCTGTATTAACTTTCCTTATGTTCAACTAGGCCGGGATTCTCCCTTACTTCACATCAGTTTTTTTTCCACATGCGGATCATTGAAAAGGATTGGGCGTCTTTCTTTTCTTAAGCACAATTCTGATGAATTAATATTTTCAATTCCATGTTCTTAAATACGAAAAGTTGTTTCTGGCCTGTCACACTTTTTTATTGATATTGAGAGAAAAAAGCTCTTTTATAGGACCTCGGCAATTGATCAGAACTACAACTATGGCGTTTCCTCAACGATTTCCCATGCCACCTTTTGGTTAGTAATACCTCCTTATTTTTCTTTTTTTTTNTTTTTTTTTGTAAATGGAAGCTATTTTACATTTGACGGATTGCCTTGAAGTAAACGCGCCATAAGTTTTTGTTCCAAGGATCAGTCTATCATTTGTATAGGGGTAAATGCTGGTCGTCACATCATTAATAAAGGCTCTTAACCGTTTCTTGGAGAACTGGTGCTCCATGGGTTAACGAATCTTTGACTCTACTTATCTTCTCTATCAAGGAGTTCAGAGTCCTAGCAGCTGACTCTGTCAAATGTCGCATTACTTGAGTTGTAGTTGACAGCGTTGCTTTCTTGAAAGGCCAAGAAATATCGATTTTCGCCGCATCGTCGCCTCACCCATACGTCACCAATGACATCTGTTAACTAGGAGCCCGCCCACTGCATTCTTTCTACTACCCAATCCTCGCAGCTATAATCGTATACTACTCCCGATGCAGGGCATGCTGCCTGTAGTAGGGTTGGAAAATTTTCTTTTTTCTGGTAAGCTTCCGTAATAGTATTTTATACCACAAGTAAGGTGTCCAGTAGTGTTTAGTAACTTTTATTTAGTGTTTATCTATTCAGGTTTTCCACCACAACCTCAAATATTTTTCAATCCCATAGGTCGAGGATTCATACCACAGCAGGTGAGTTGATGACCCAGAATATATTGTTGCAAGTTAATGACGTCGATTTTTTTCAGATCCCGATGGCCCCGATGAAACAAAAGCCGGTGACAACTGTTTTCGTAGGAAATATCTCTGAGAAATGTAGTAACGAATTTATGCAACAAATGCTCCAGGTATATTACACTAGGTCGCCCAACCCTTCCATAGCTCCAGGGTTCAAAAATCATGTACTATTTGTCACAGGAATGCGGCACAGTAACAACTTGGAAGCGAATACAAGGTTCGAATGGGAAATTTCAAGCGTTCGGATTTTGTGACTTTGAAGAACCTCAAGGGACGCTGAGAGCACTGAGGGTGTTGAACGATTTCCAAATTGGGGAGAAAAAGTTGGTAGTAAAGGTAAGATCATGCTGACATGGACTCAGTAAAGTTGACTGGCAAATATTATTGACTCCGTTAATCTTGTGCGCGGCGCATACATTTTTTGCTGATCCTGTTTTTGAACAATTTTAGGCAGAACCAAAGGTTCGTGAAGAGCTTCGTACATGGGCCATCCAACATCGAAAAGACACTGGTAAGCGGAGTTAAGTGCATGTTTGCATTTGTGATGTGTCGGGCTAGCGTGATGGACACTTTGTCTGTTCTGTGACTTCTTCGAGATATTGTTTCATGGAAATAGCATCCTTACAATGGAACAGGAAGTCCTTGAAATTTGATTTCTATGGAATTGAGGATCGAGTTATCAATCTTTTCCAAAGTGTGTTGCCATTTATAATCATTCTCGAAAGTATGAAATTGAGGGATCAAAGCATTCAGTCCGATATTCTTTTAGATATGTAGGAGCTAAGCAGGCATTACCGGTAAATTTTACCAGCCGCACAGAGAAATTCAAAAAATTGAGCGTCTATACACTTCCAAACAATTTTACTGGTCGAGGAGTATTCAGTTTTTCAAATAACTTTGCTGACGAATGCTCGCACATTCGTTTAAGAAAGATGTGCTAAATGTCCTACGTAGGCTTGAAATTAATTGAATGTTTGTTCCGAGTTTGTAGTAAGCGAACATTTGTAAAAAACTCTATCAGACTCCTCTGAGAACAGAGCATAGCAATCGGTGTTATTGATGTTGCGGAAGGCGTCGTCGGTGTCATTGATATTGACATCAGTCCGTAGCAGAAGCCCTATGAATCCTGATTGAGTAGGTTTCCTACATAGCGCTTGCCGTTGTTTTGCAGGCCAGAAATATGGAGATGTGCTTACATACTGCTACTCTTGCCTCAATGCTACGAGTGTTTGAATCACCGGGGACCGACACCACTTTGATTTAGGAGTATGTCAGTGGTTTCCAACCGAACAGGAAAGGGCAGTGAACGGGAACGGTTATGCAATGTATTGTTGATGAAAATAAACATCTGATGGTTGTGGCCAACATAGAGAAGCTTACAATACCTAGCGGTACTCTGGAGTCTGATAAGATTTTGTTCAGATTGAGTTCCTTGACGTCAAGTCATTTTCCTAATCATCTTCGAATCCGCTAAACGGCTTCTGAAGGTCCAACTTTTGGAGGCACTATATCGTGTTCGATTCCTTACGTCCATTATTTTTATTGCTGCTTTGGTTGAGGTGCTTAGGGTATGAAGCTTACTAGCAGTCTTTGCGACAAGACGTCGAGGTGCGTGATGGTTGTCTAAGGTGCAAGTCTTCCGGAGGTTGACTTACATTTTGATATTTTGGGGAGTTGATGGGAGCGCAGCATAGTTGACATGTTTAATTTAAGGTAATTGTTGTGTAGTTGGAACAGAATCTTATGGTGACCAAGTCAATTGTGAAATTTCCAATCCATACTTTCAATCCCCTTACCCCCACGTTCAACTAGGCAACATGCAGGATTTTGCATTATATTTCCTATAAAATTTTCGTTGTGTCTGGCTGCTTCAAAAGACTCTAGAAAGTCTTTTACCTGCAAGATGAATGAAGAATACTAAACTGTTTAATAGTGAAAGTGTGAAAATGGAAAAAATTGATTAGGAACGTCAAATTACACACTGTGCGCGTCGGCCTACTTTGGCCCCAGATACACGATATCTTTCTCTTCCGTTCACCGGCTTAGAGGTATTGGCTGTTCAGTTTACAACCGAAAGATTTTTCACTCCCTCAGGCGGCCTGGACATCTTTCGAAAATGAGACCCGTTTTGGAGACGGTGGCCCAATTCTTGACATTTTTGTTAACGATCCCTTGTTTCATGTTTTTTTTTTGTTTCGATATCTCTTGTCCATCATGGTCTCACTTAAGCAGCAGGTGTTTCGTTCTGCTGCTTTTGTTTTCATGTTGCAGCTGTTTTCGCGTTTACCATGGTATTTCTGCGGCTACCACTGCCTGGTTATTGTTAAGACAAACTGCGACTGCCTAATGTGATTGCTTCAGCGTAATATCTAACATTTTTAGATACCAGAGAAGCGCACAAGGTTACTTTGATACTTACGCGCTTAAACTTGCAATGCCGTAGTCTATCTACTACCGCTGTTCTTCTCGAAATAAAATGAATCAAATCGAACACAGTAGTTGTAAAAAGTCTTAGCCCGTGGAGGAATGGCGGATGTTGTGGTGTGCTTTTCAACATACCATGGATCACATGTATTTGATTGTCAGAATGGCTACTTGTTTTCGTCTTTAGCCATTGGTAGTTGTTGTCAGGGACCTATAAATTGTTTTTCAGGAAAGCCCGAGCTGAAGTTGAAAGAAGATGAATTGCCAGCTGACGAAGAGGATCTAAAGAAAGACGAAGAAGTTCGTCTGAAGATTTTAGCGTGGATCGATTCAGATCATCCACAACTGGTCACGCTAGCTGAAGGTGGGCGTTTAATATGACGAGAAGTGATACACACAATGTTCAATATGTTTGCTGTTTTGCTTTAAGTCAATTAATTTCTTTCGTTTTCCTTTTGTTCCTGTTGCTTTGTCTTGAATTCTTAGACAGTTACGTAAAAGCACTGAATAATAAATTTGCGATGAATCGAATGTTACAGATGGCGAGCTCTCTGACAAAGAAGCTAAGGACGCAAAGGTTTGCCAGTCATCATGAGTTATTTTGAATCAACAATCCATTTGATCAAATTTCTTTTTTTTAGAAGGATAAAGAAAAGCAGAAGGATGAGAAGAAGCGGGATGCCGGTACGGAAAGCAAAAAGGTGAGCTTCCCGTTCTAGCATGAGCTCCATATGAATTCTTAATTTTTTCATTACTCTGAACACTGTACTCTCTCGAAGTGTGAAATGCGTTTTCGAATGCAACTTCGGTCTCTGATAACGTTTTTCATTTTTTCTGAGGGTCCTTAAGCAGAAAGGAATATTCATTACCTTCAAGCATTACACACAAATACGCTAGTTTTCTTTTTGTGTACACGAAAGTGGATACTGATGCCTAATAATGTTTGGTATTTGTGGTTTAGTCATCTGTGTGAGCTGTTATATCTATAGGTGGCAAGACGGATTGCCCTATGCGAAGGTAAGTTGTCCTATTCGAATCTCCTTTGTTTACCATAATATATATTCATGACCTACTACTATTATTACTGCTACTGTAACTACTGATATCTGTCGTCCGTGCTCTCTCACATGTATAAGCGCACAAACGATAGGCTCTTTAGACGTTCTTTGACTGTCTACTTGTCTATCTGTCCCTACGTCCTACGCTTTTTACCGTACACATGAAGTCTGTTCCCGTTGCAACGAAAATGAGAAGCGGGACGGATTATGTGTTTTTCTGCTGTGTTCTGCATGCTAACATTGCCTTGGTTTTGTGTGGAGAGATTAGTTCCTCTGATTTTTTAATATATTTCGAATTCAGGTTAAATGTCGCTGAACTGCGAACTCCCATAAATGGTATGTGATGTGCTTAGTTTGCGACTGTTGTGTGCCAGCCATATATTGAGCCATTTCTCTTATGCTATTAGAACCGTCAAGATTCTGTTTTTTTCACTTTCAATCTCTTTATCACGGCAGCATTGCTCGTATCGCGGGTGGTGTTAGTTGTGACCTAAATAGATGTCTTTTCGCCACCATTAATCACACGTGTAGAATTCGCACGCCATCCATTTCACGCATGCTTCTCCTACCGTAGCTTGTTGCACCTCACTAATACGCTAGTCCGTTCGTCTAACCACGTGCTCTACGCTCAACACTTTCAGATACCAGGCGAAGCCCTTAATACGATAGCAGGTCGGTGTGAGTGTACAAAGTTTCAATTTACCGTACAATATATTCGAGTTGTCATTCTTGTATTTTATATCAGCGCGTCAGATCTACCATCTTATCGATTGGTTTACTACTCGGAAAGAAGGTTAGGGGGTGTTGTTTTGAGATTTGCTGAAGTCGTAGTGTTTCATGGCTGTGCTTCTTTCACACCGCTCCCGATCTGCATGCTTTATCTAATGTTTCCATTTTTCGTGTTCTCTACGTGTATGCATTAAGCACTCCGTTTCAGGGCGACTGAATGCATTATTTTGTACAGGCTGGTTTATCCAAATAACGTACTTGTCGGTCTAGGCGATGGTGTATCTTTGAATTGCGCGCAAACGTTGCGTACAATTTGTTGTTGCGCATGACTTTTGAGTAACTCATTACTTCTGTTTTTTCCAGGAAGTAGAGCGTGAGAGGCGAAGGCGGAGGTCACGTTCAGAATCGCGATCCCGCTCCCGCAACGAAAGAAGGTCCCGACGCAGCAAATCACCAAAACATAAGTGAGTTATAGATTAAATAAGGTATAGCGGTGATGTTGCGAAAATAGGAAGGTTGAAATATTTGAATTCAAGGCGTCGCCGTCGATCTACATCGTATTCTGGTTCATCGGAAAGCAGTAGTTCAAGCAGCTCGTCGGAATCTCGAAGTAGATCACGATCCCGTGAGCGCACTCCGCCAAAGAAACGGAGAGAGAGGGACCGATCACTGAGCAGGTTCTGCTCGTCTTTCTTTCTTGTATCAGTAGCACAGACGAATATCGTTTTCTAGGAGTTCCGAAGATAGTGAGGAAGCTCGTGAGAGACGGAATTTGAAGAAACAGATCAAAGAAAAGGAGCAAGCATATGTTTCGCGTCTTACGAAATGGGAAGCTCGTGAACGGCAGAAGGCCAAACAATATGAAAGGGAAGAACGAAGGGAAAAAGACAGGTATGAATTCGAAACGGTTGTACAATCCGGACATCATTGACGTCAAATTTTTAGGAGGCGAGATATTCTCAAGGAAGCAAAAAAGCTAAAGCACTTTTTGGAAGACTACGATGATGAAAAGGATGACCCAAAATACTACAAGTGAGAGCTTATTGTCTCCTTCTTCCAATGTCAGCTCGAGAATCATTGTTCACATTTTCAGGAGTTCTTCATTATTCCAACGTAAACGTGATTTTGAACGTGAACGAGAAGCAGATTCAAAAGATCGGCTCAGAGAACAGCAAGAAATAGAAGAGCTCCGAAAGCAAATCCTTGCCGAAAACAAAGACGTGCAGAACGTGGACGAGGAAGCTCGCCGACGACACTTTGAGAAGGTATATGACTATTCGCTGTCGCAGAAAATTCCTATATCATCCGACCTAGTTCCAGGAGGAAGCCGCCATGCGTCGTATACGAGAAGACAGTGGTAGTCCGAATCCTCACCAACCTCTTGGTCAGAGGGATGGGGATGCCGACAGCTCGAGTAGTAGTGCAGAAGAAAGTGATGATGAAGATGATGGAAAGTCAGTGGACGAAAAGTCGGCCGGTGATGATGAAGAAGATACAAAAACTCCAAAAAGTGACGCTCCTCCATCGAACATAACACATGAAGATCGTTGGAGAAGCGGTATGAATTGAGTTGGTCAGGACTAAGCTATGGATTAATTTATATGACAGACTTTTCAGTGGACGTCACCTCACAGTCAACTCCATTGAGTGTATCCTCTCCTGTTATGTTACGTAACGCCTCTTCTAGTACATCCTTACCAGCCATGCAACGTCCTGAGCTGAATTCCAGGCTCAATGGGGTTTTCGGTAGGTTTTTCTGTGCGGATTCGGCGAAGTTTGAGCGCTCGTTTATTTCGCAAATTCTGTAATTTACACTCTTACTAGTTACACAAAAGTAATTGACTGCGTCAATATTTCTTGTGTAGCATACACGGAAATCAGCTTCTTTTTGTTTTTAGTCTTTGTATATTAGTTTCAATCAAGTTCTTGGTTATAATGAGAAATTTCTAGGAGATGACGAAGAGGAAGAGGGGGGCCGTAATAAATTGAAGCCTTTTGAAATTACGCAAGAAGATCGGATGGAAACCTTAACTACGGACGAAAAGAAACGAATGGTTAAAGATCTCATCAATAACATACCGACTACTAAAGGTAAAATTTAAGTAATTATGATTGCGTTATAATTGTTACATTTGTTTTGGGCTTATTCATGAATTCACCTCCCAAACACCTTTTTTGTACACTTCAAAATCTACCTCGAAATTACTTTCAGAGGAACTGTTTGCTCATACGATAGATTGGCGATATGTGGACCGGCCCTTAATCGAACAACGGGTCCGGCCTTGGGTGGCGAAAAAAATAATGGAGTTTTTGGGTAGGTTTTCTATAAAGGTTCTCACTTTGATATTTTTGGTAGTACTAGGTGAAAAATGGCTGGCTTTCAGGTGAAGAAGAAGGAGCACTTGTGGATTTCGTATGCGAAAAGGTGGCCAACAAAACTTCACCTGATCGTATTTTAGGTGATATTGCCATGGTAAGTTTCTTCTTATACGAAATTCCGATGCTTCAGATTCTAGTTTTTTGAAGTCGACTTCGGTTTTTTGATTTTGCTTTGACATGTGAAATTCGATATATCATCTGCTCCAGAAGTACAATAAAATCTCTTTAAACACTATCGATGCCGGCCTTGCTTGGTCTCCGTGCCATCTTATTCGTTTTACAACAGGAGTTCGTTTTACGAGTTCTGTTGACTTACCGAGTTGTAAACGATGAGCACAGAAGAAGGGAGAGCGGCTCAAGAAAGGGAAAAGTTGATGGAAGAACTAACTTTCATATGGATTTTCAGGGATCTCCATTCTGAAAATAGGCTTTCATAAGGAAGTGTAGCGCTCCTGTTTGTTAGGTCTACCCTAAGCATAGCTGATTGTTAAAATTTTGCTATTTGCTCCTCACATTCTGGAACCAATTAGCGAACCTTGGGAGGATAGAAATGATTCGTAGGCACGTGCCAAAAATGGATCTGTTTAAATTGGCTAAAATGAGGCAAAAAGGCCTTATCCTTCATAGCCGCTGACTGGATGGAATATTTTCCTTCTCAAAAAGCTTTATCTGTGTAAAGTCTTCTTTTACGTTATCGGAAAGTGTGATGTAGTTTTCTATGCAAATGCTCCTGATTCTGTCAAGTGTTTAATAATAACTATTCTTTCAGATACTTGATGAAGATGCTGAAGTGTTTGTGGTTAAAATGTGGCGGCTCCTGATCTACGAAAGTGAAGCGAAGAAATTGGGTCTTGTTGTTCCACGGAGTACTCAGTGATAGTCGTATATGTTTGACTATAATGTTTGTTTGTAGTTGTTACCAACGTTATTACCTTGTTGAGACTGAATTGCAGGTATGTTTTAGTCATTGGTCTTGCTGTACTTTACTGTAGTTTCTTCCTTACCTTTTTTTTGAAAGTATATTCGTTTCCATTCTCACTTTTTCGCATCGAAGCCAAAGTTCTTCTGGTTACTCATTTGCGTTAATTTTTCTAGCTGATCACCTCATTGCTTGTTGCAGAGTCATATTCTCCACAATTTTCTATATGTATCATCATAATTCTTGTAAAATTAGCCTAGTTGTGGTGATGATGCCAATAGGGCCTATGTAGTCTCTTCAGACAGGATTGGGGAAGGGGCCAGATTCATTTCGCGCGGTGTTTGCATTATTCTTTCTGTGTCTCAGATTTTTGATCTTTTTTCATGGTACGTGATGTTAAAAATTGTTTGCTTCAATTATTTAAATAAATGAGTAGCTATTTTATTTATCGTGTATGGAAAAGTTTGATATTTTCTCATGCTACTTCTTTAGCCTTCATAGTAAGCAATATTATCACAGCATCAAATCTTTGGAGCAGATCATTTTAGTGGAGGTGGAACCTTGCTAATTACCTTTTTGTGGAAAAGTAGATCTGCGCAAAATACCGCATTTTGTAAGAATCTCTTCTGTCTACTAATTCAGTGATTGTGAATGAAATAGGCTCGGTACCACAATTTGAGTGTGTTCATGTTTATCATGACCCATCATTCCCGTCTTCCCGGCATTGGCTATAAATGGTTGTTCAACTTTTTACAGCCATACAGGTCATTAGCAAAGTCCCAGGCCCACTGAATCATCTTCATGATTATTAATGAGGGCTGAGTACATAATGCATTAGATTCGACGAGGGTTGAAGCCGATCTACGCCGAAAGCCAATTCTTTTTCCGCAATGGTGCACATCAATATGCAGCGTACTAATAATGCATTCTCCATGCATTTCTAAGAACTACTCACACAGGAATGTTCTGCAGCCCCCAAAAAGCCTTCGTAATTGTGCCGTAATCTGTGGGAGAGGGGGCGGAGAGGTTGGAGATTACATAAAGTGAGCTGATGACAACAGATTACAGTATCAGTAATGATTTTGAAAAGTGGTGTCAACATCTTTAATACATTTTGTCCATTTACAAAAGCGAAATAAAACTGTTCACGCTTGCGTAGGCGCCTCTGCTAGCATTAGCCAATACATAGAGGATAAAAGCAAACTGGTCTTACTTGAGTAATTGAAAAACTTAGGGAGTAGTGCTAAGAGGTGCTATTGCTACATTTGTACTCCTTTGATCAGATCCTACATCGATGTCATAGCTCATTTATTCAGTTCGCCTAATAGGACCAAAACTTTTACCTGTTTTTAGCGGCTACTCCCACAAATGAATCTGAATGCTGGCTACATACTAATTTTACCGTGCAACTTTCAATTACTACGATTCTGGGTGAAAATGATTGGATGTGCGCATTCTGAATAGGATTTGTAATTGTGGAAAAAGTTTATTTGTTGTTTTTGCTATTCATTTGTACAATTTTTGTATTCCTTCATTTGCTTACATATTCCTTCATTTGCAAGAAACGTTTTCGAAAAGTTATCAACAGCTCTGACTCCAATTGGCAGTATTCCCTCAGAGGCTCTTGGGTGCTAGTGCAATTCAATCATAAGGTGGCCCTGCCTAGCCGGTAGGGAAATTCTTGACAGAAGTCGTTCTCATCTTTCGTAAGGTTTTATTATCGTTCATCGCCGTCTGTGTCGACGATCCTCATCGCTCCTCGCTCTGAGACGACGTTCTTAGGAAATTGGGACGCCGATTATAATGCGGGGATCAAGCGGGCGGGACCACTAAAACGCGTGGTTCCCAGTCTACCGCAAACAACGGCAAGGACATTACGTGGGTTGGTCCCATTTCAGATTATCACTTATTCATAACTATTCTAAGCTTTCATAGGGCTTCTATTCGCACTTATGACTGGAGCTATATTATAACCATTAAACCTCCTGCACAGCTTTTTAGCATTTGCCGCTTAAAACTCCCAGTCCGTTGAATTCCAATGATATTTGCTGCCGTTTGAACTTGTGCTGTTGATAGTGTTATCATTCCTTTCGACTTTTCACTATATCCTTCTTTCCATGCCATCTACATTGTAGGCATATCTAGTTATGTAAATAGATGTGAAATTTCAGGTAAACCCACTTGTGGTAACGCCTACATGGGCTCTCTACGTTGGGCTGTTTCATTAACCGAGGTGAGTTCTTCATCAATTGAAGGGTCAGGGTGAGGTAAACATCATTGGTGTTTGACCTCGCTTCGCAGGCCTAATCACGTCTAATACTCCTATAATCAATTCGCTAACTAGAAAGCCTTTCTGTGAGAATGGGAAAGGCGACATCAATATCAGTCAGTCGGTGTAGGATAATATGTAGGCAGAATATTCAAATATAGTAAGTTCATGGAGCGTCACTAAAGGGCATGTATTTCAGTTTGTCAGAACGATACAGTTAATTCCAGATACTTATCATGCCCTCACCTTCTTATAGGCAAATCTACCACTGACCCTTTGCCTGCTCCAAATGCACCTCGTTCAGTTTAGGGCCTTAAAAGAATTATTGTTGACTGGCCTGGCCTGTTAGGTTGCTGGCCTTATTGTTAGACGAGTCTCATCCTATACCTCTGCGTTCTCACCTCTTTTACACTTCCATACAGCTTCTCTCTCTCCTTCGCTTCGATTCTCTTTCCTTCCATTCGTATACAGCTTCTCTCTCCTTTGCTTCGATTCTCTTTCCTTCCATTCGCTTTCGTAATATCGTCCTTGAGCACTTCGATTCTCTTTCCTTCCATTCGTTTTCGTAATATCGTCCTTGAGCAGATATAGAAATGAATTTCAGGTGCCGCAGAAGATGAGCCGAGGAGTGGGGTATTAAGTAAAAGTAGTGTCAAATAATGTATTCGTCCTTTTTCAAACCTATTTCTCCTTGTCCCACTACTTTCATTAAACCCCCTACTCCTCTATTTTCATTTTATGAGATCATAACTTGAATTGAGGTATGTTCTGCTGTGGTCCCATAAATTATATTCCAGAAAAAATTACTCGATCCTTTCGATTTTCCGGGCTTTTTAGCGTCCCGGCAGAGGATCTAGGTAGACTAGTCACATAGACTAGTCATTGATTAGAACACAGAAAAGCTTCCAAGAATTTTTTTCTACGTTTTTGTCGTATCCATTTTATTATTCTTTATTCACGTCAATACAAATGCTTTTCTTTACGGATTTTTGTATTTTTCATTATAAATTCTCCTATGATAAATTAATACTTTCCAGGGTAGAAAGATAGAAAATGTAAAATTTATTCTTACCTACGTAGTTAGAGTTAGTTCTTTATGACTACTGACTGGTTTTTAGAGTGAGGCACTTGCTTCGTTTGAATTGCTATTCCGTCGAGCCCTACAGTGTCTACCGAATGAAGATGTTGAAGCTCAACGGCGATTTCGATTCCGTGACGACAGCCTTTCTTGTGTTATAGGAAGACTCATTATAAGGTGCACCAAGCAGTTTTTCTTCCTTGCTCTAATTTAAAAACTTTCTGCTGAGTTGAAATATTTGGTGAAAAGTAATGTGGACATAGGACGGAGGTGGTGCAGTGGCACGTGGCGCACTATCACACACACATGGTCACGCGTTCGAAACCGCATTGATATCCGCCTAGGTCAACAAGCCTTCAAGTTCTCTGGGGTCGGTTAATTTGTACCAGATTCGTCTGGGAGGATAATATCATTGACTTGTATATTGACTGGCCACCGCAAATCATTGGGCCACATACGCATTCCAGTACGATTCTAATTGGGAGTGAAGTACAGGGGCACATCCTTCGGGAGGGATTGAACAGCGCCCAAAAAGTTTATCCTCTATACCTTTGATATAGATTTACCACCGTA